AAAATTTGACTATTAGGTCCATAAGAACGTTTCCTCACAATTTGGTCCCTAACTCAACTTTAATGCTCTAGGAAATTTTGGGGTATTACATCCACCCCTCCTAAAAAGGAGTTTAGTCCCCTAAACTCATACCTCAATCTTGGAAGAGGTGCGGATGTTCCTACCTCATCTTGGATTCCAACTCCCAGGTAGCTTTTTCAACCGAATGGTTATCCCAGAGGACCTTAACAAAACGAATGGTCCTTCTCCGCATTATCCTCTCCTTGAAATCTAAAATGCAGATTGGGTGCTCGTCATAAGTAAGATCCTCCCGGAGTTGAATTGGTTCAGGATTAATGATGTGACTCGGGTCGGGAACATACTTTCGAAGTAAAGACACGTGGAACACATTATGCACACTCGCTAACTTTCCAAGCAACTCCAATTTATAAGCTACCTCGCCAATCCTTTCCAAGATGGGATATGGTCCAATATACCTCGGACTCAATTTTCCCCGGATGCCGAACCTGAGGACACCTCGAGTGGGTGACACCTTCAAAAAATACATGGTCACCAACTTCAAACTCAAGGTCTCGTCTCCTTCTATCCGCATAGCTTTTCTGCCTGCTTTGTGCAGCACGAAGGCGTTCCTTAATCAACTTCACAATCTCAGAGGATTGTTGCACCAATTCTGGGCCTAAAATGCTCCTTTCGCCCACTTCCGTCCAACAAACAGGTGATCTACACCTTTGACCATATAAAGCCTCAAACGGTGCCATGCGGATGCTGGACTGATAGCTATTATTGTATGCAAATTCAGCCATGGATAAGTGTTGATCCCATGAACCTTTCCAATCTAGAACACAAGCCCTCAACATGTCCTCAAGTATCTGAATAGTTTTCTCATATTGCCCATCAGTTTGAGGATGAAAGGCCGTGCTGAAATTTAATTGAGTACCAAGTGCCTGCTGCAAGCTTGTCCAGAAATGAGATAAAAAGCTGGTATCTCTATCTGACACAATAGACACAGGGACTCCATACAGTTTGACTATCTCCTCCATGTACATATTGGCAAGCTTTTCAATGGAGGAAGTGAGCTGATTTGGTCAATCGATCAACGATGACCCAAATGGAATCATTACCCTTTAAGGTTCGTGGTAAGCCAGTCACAAAGTCCATGGTGATGTTTTCCCACTTCCACTGAGGAATAAGTAACGGCTGCAGTTTTCCAGGAATTCTCTGATGTTCAGCCTTGACCTTTTGGCAAGTCAGGCACTGTGAGACAAATCTAGCTATCTCCTTCTTCATGTTCCGCCACCAAAATGTACTACGTAAATCGCGATACATCTTGGTGCTACCTGGGTGAATTGTATAGCTAGTATAATGGGCATCTCCTATAATCTCACGCCTTAAAGCATGGTCTTTTGGTACACACAGCCTGTCACCAAACCACAGAATCTCATCATCAGAAATTCTGAATTCTTACATGTAGGGTTCCCCGGCTTTTACTTTTTCCTTCATCCTCTGCAAGAAAGGATCTTTCTGCTGGGCAAGTTTAATTCTATCTATTAATGCCGGTTGTGCACTGAGAGCGGCTAGATAAGCCGTAGTGCTGTCCATTCTCAACTCCACATCCAGTTTCACAAGATCCTCAAGTAACTCCTTCTGAGTGGCAAGGATGCTAAAGGCAGTGCCAGAGGACTTCCTACTCAACGCATCTGCTACCTTGTTAGCCTTGCCCGGATGGTAGCTAATGGTCAAGTCGTAGTCCTTTAAAAGTTCAAGCCGTCGCCTCTGCCTCATATTAAGCTCCTTTTGAGTGAAAATATACTTAAGGCTCTTGTGATCAGTGAAGATTTCACAAGTCTCACCATACAAATAATGCCTCCAGATCTTGAGTGCAAATACTACAGCTGCCAACTCCAGATCATGGGTAGGGTAATTTTCTTCATAAGGCTTTAACTACCGAGAAGCATATGCAGTAACCCTATCTTTTTTGCATCAAGACACATCCCAAACCCTTTTTAGAGGCATCACTATATATAGTGAATCTTTCCCCATTAATTGGAAGTGCAAGTACAGGAGCAGTGACCAACTTCTCCTTCAAGGCCAAAAAGCTCTCCTCACACTCTGGAGTCCACTCAAACTTGGTGTCCTTCCTGATAAGACGAGTCATTGGCAGAGCAGTTCTAGAGAAATCCCCTACAAATCGGTGGTAATAATCAGCCAATCCCAGAAAGCTACGGATTTATGCAACACTATTCGGCCTTTTCCAATCAACCACGGCCTCAATCTTCTGGGGGTCAACAAAGATTCCATCCTTAGTCACCACGTGACCTAGGAATGCAACATTGTCTAGCCAGAATTCACACTTCTTAAATTTAGCAAACAGCCTCTCACTTCTCAATGTCTCGAGAACTGTTCTTAAGTGCTTTTCATGAAGAGTGCGGCTAGAAGAGTAGATCAAAATGTCCTCAATGAAGACAACCACGAACTGATCTAGGTACTTGCTAAACACCCGATTCATCAAATCCATAAATCTGGCAGGGGCATTTGTCAAGCCAAATGGCATGACTATGAATTCATAATGACCATAACGGGTGCGGAAGGCAGTCTTTGGCACATCATCCGGTTTAATCTTCAACTGGTGGTAGCCATATCGAAGATCAATTTTAGAAAATACCTGAGCACCCTTGAGCTGGTCAAACAAGTCATCAATTGTAGGAAGGGGATACCAATTCTTCACAATCACCTTATTCAATTCCCGGTAATCAATGCATAGCCTCATGCTCCCATCCTTCTTCTTGACAAACAACACTGGAGCTCCCCAAGGTGACACACTAGGGCATATAAACCCTTTCTCAAAGAGTTCCTACAGTTGGACTTTTAACTCCTTCAGTTCTGCAGGAGCCATACGGTATGGTGCTTTGGAAACGGGTCCGGTGCCAGGAACAAGGTCAATAGCAAATTCAACCTCTCTATCCAGAGGTAAACCTGGGACATCCTCCAGAAACACATCCGGAAACTCACGCACCACCGGTATGTCCTCTAGTCTCGATGTCACACTACTAGCATCAGTAACGGAGACTAGGAAACCCTGGCAACCATTCACAAGATATTTCTGAGCCTGCAAGGCAGATACTAACACGGGTGGCGCAAAAGAACCACTGCCTTGGAAACTAAATTCTGGCTCACCAAGAATATTAAAAATTACCCATTTCCGATGACAGTCTATAGAGGCAAAATGTTTTGACAGCCAATCCATCCCCAAAATGATATCAAAATCGGAGATATCTAACACAAACAGACTAGCACTCAGCTGTCTACCATCAATATAAATATCTACAGTCCTACACATCTCTTTAGTAGTCATCACCCCTCCTAAAGGGGTGTCCACATGCAGTTCACAATCAGAGGTATCAACAGGCAAAGCTCGTTTCAAAGCATAAGATCGAGCAATAAAAGAGTGCGATGCACCCGAATCAAATAAAACATGCGCATAATCAGAGTTAACAGGCAAGGTATCCGTGATTACGTCGATGGCCGCAGCTTCCTTATGAGTCATCACTTGCACTCTCGCCTGCTGGGCTCTTGTCCGAACCCCAGTACTCTGTTTTTGCGCCCCTTGACTGGTAGAACCCTGCGGAGAGGTAGGTTGAGTGCCCTGAGTCTTGGGGTCTAATAGGGGACAATTTGCAATCTGATGTCCTTGCTTGCCACATTTGAAGCAAGCCCCAGTAACAGTGTGGCATTGATCTCGGGTGTGCCCAACCTTCCCACAAATGTGGCAAGTAAGCTGAGTAGGACGAGCACGTTAGGCCGTTGATGGTTTATAGACTATTAATCAAATGTTCCAATGAAAATTTTCCAAGCGAGTTTCCACTTCCGGGACCAAGCAACACAAAAATATCAAAACAAAGGAAACCAACACACATTAAGGAAAGAATCAAACAAGCGCCTTTAATCAACCCCACTCTCATGCCTCACCACGTTCCAATAATTCATTGCTAGCCAAGTTCTAAACTAATCCCAGGCACTTAATTAAACCTAGGCTCTGATACCACAAAATCTGTCACGCCCCGAACCCAAATCTGGGAACGTGGCAGACGCCGTGCACTCGTGAGAAGGTCCCACAAATGCACAAGGCTCGAAACTTACTTAGTTCATAATTACTAATTCAGATGATTCAGATAATATCTAATTTCTTTTTTTTCCTAAAAATTTACTGGTCAAAACGTACACAGAGTTATAACTTCATCTATACAATCCTTACTATTACTAAAGGAATTATGTACACAAAAGTTTCTAAGTCAAGCATGGATGACTAGCAGCCTAGCTACAAAACCGAATCCAAAAATGCCTAGCCGTCTAGCTCGTTACTCCCCTGGGCTTCCCACGCGTCGGGTCTCACTACCTAAAATGGTGGACAAGGAAACCGTGAGATAAAAATATCTCAGTAAGTAAACATGGGTGCCCGGAATCAAAATTTAAAGCATGCCAAATAATCGGTTGAACATAAACAGAGCGTTTCAATAGCAAACCATTGATGCAAACTAAAATCACATAGTAGTCTTCTCTATTAGTCATGGCCAGTGTTATAAACCTCCCACTGGCAGGCACATGATTACTAGTGTATAATCCCACTAGTAGGATATCACGAGCGAACCGGTTCTATCACTAACATGTCAACATGTGCTAGCGTTTGTAAACCTCCCCCACTAGCAGGGTCACTAAATACATGACCACATCGGAGACAAAACCTAGCAAGATTTACAGAAAACCACGATTCATGATCGTTCTCACTTTTAAAAATAAACCGAAGAATCTCATGTGGGCATGCTCAATTCTAGAAAATAAGGAAAATAATAAAAGTTCAACTTCTCTTTTTAATCATGCTCAAATGCAAATAAATCCATTTAAACCTCGCCACCATCTCAGAAAACAATTAAAATATGCTTCAAAAACTTAAGGGCATTACCATAATTTACTTACCTTAATTGTACAGGACAGACGGCCTAATCCAAGTGCTAGGATCACGGGGCAATCAAGGACCTAATCACAATATGTTCGAATTAATATCTATAAAGAAACTTTATTTCTTTATTTATTTTTATTTTTATTTTCTATCTGAAAATTGAGCATTCACTGGGATTGGGTATTTATCTATGTATATACAATTATACAATTACACATATAAAATTTTCAAACCCATGGACAAGAATTTGGGAGAACCGGCCTTGACAAAAAAAAAAATGGCCAATTCACAGAATTTTCCTCCTTTTTTCTCGGACACACACACAATAGCCAGATTAAGGATTTTCTACTTAAATCATCAACCAATCCATTTTCAAATTGCCAAAACTCATCCCCCACCTCCGGCAGATTGTTTTTTGACAACCCAACACCCATACAACCACTTAAACTCACAAATCAGCACTTAATCAACCAATTCTCGGAGATTAGAGAAGCTAACTTACCAAAAATCCTCAACAAGCAAGGCTGGAGCTGCAGATTAAGGGGAAGAACCGGCGGGAAAATTGGAGAGAAATTTGGGAACCACTAGCAATTGAAAGGAATAAAGATTAGGGTGAACCCACACACATCAAGGCTGAAAAAAGGGAATTCATGGCGTGGAATTCATGGCTGATGTTACCAAGAAAAATGGGAACTTCTACCCAGCAACAGCCGGCGGCAGAGGGAGGAGGAAGCAGAGCAGAGCCGGCGGCTTTTCTGCAAGAGAGAGAAGTTCTAAGTCCTAGACTTGTTCTTGGGCAAGAGGAGAACAAAAATCATCAAGTTCTCTTACCAATTTTTTCAGGTGGAGGCGCTGGAAATGGCTGGTGATGTTCGGCTGGAGGGAGAAAAGAAAACAGAGTAGACGCGAAAATGGCTGGAAAGAAAGAAAGAAAAAGAAAAAGGAAAAAAAAACAAAAGAAATGAGTCAGCCGGCCTTATCCAAAAAGATTTAACCCCTTTAAAATTCAAAAATTTGACTATTAGGTCCATAAGAACGTTTCCTCACAATTTGGTCCCTAACTCAACTTTAATGCTCTAGGAAATTTTGGGGTATTACACCACATTAGTAAACCAGATAATCTAATTAAATTAAATTAATTAAATAATTAAGATAATGGTGATATTATTGGAGAGATTTTCTTCAACTAAAAACCACATACAAAGACTTTTGGGATTTTTAGGATGCACTTCCTTAATGGAAGGAAGTTGTCAACAATTTAACAGATGGGTCCCTTGTTTAACCTATAACTACACTTGTGGTTTTTCCATTAGATCATTGACTTCCAGTTTTCTAAAGGCAATAGACTAGAAGTCTTCTTCTTTTCTTAATCATGTCATCTGCTTAATCCTAAAACACCAACCCAATTTCCCCCTCTCAAAAACTACGTCATACAATCATCATCTTCCCCAAAAGCCTTGGTATTGGTTAACTTTTGATTTTCTTGCAGAAGTTTTATTGTTGTATTATGGTAGCAGCACAAGACAAAAGATTTTGGGTGATCTACTCAGACTACATTAATTCTGGAACGACAATGACAAGAGGTTAGTAAATTTTGTTTCATTGCAATTCAAATATATATATAACAGATACATAATCTCAAAATTTGGGGTTTCAGAAGAAATTAAAAGAGGGAGAAGGAAGTGTTAATTGCCAATAAAACTCAGTGGTAATTTCCTTTGTGGAAGTAAGAGACTAAATTTGAATCATATGATATGTAAGTAAAGTAAGTTTAAGAATGGAAATGAGTTACTTATTATTGTATAAGACAGGATAACAAAAATTAAAAAATAAAGGGAAGATATGTCAATTCATAATAAGTTGTATAGCCAACACTATTCAGATTCTCCTTCTCTTTCAGGTCTAACCCAAAACAAAAACTTAAAGGACTTCACAATTTTTTGATCACTTCACTAGATCTTGCTGGAAAACTTGCTAGAATTTGTTCTTTCTAGCTTCACCCAACCAATGATCACTTTAAAAAGGTTTGCTTCTTCTGCTTATAATCTTCCTCGACTCATTCTCTTATCATTGTTGTTGTTTATTTGTTGGTGTTGGTAATGAAGAGGCACTATTTCTTTCACTAGTTTTTTTAATTAAAGTTGATCAAGAGAATAAAATTTAATTTTTAATAGTTCAACGTTAGAAATTAAAATTTGAATAATTATATTTGAAAAATAACTTGAATAAACATATTAAATTTAATAAATTTATGTTTTAATAAATTTAAAGACTCCGTAATTTAATTTTGAATTGTTTGGGATTTTTCCCATCAAACTAAACTAAAATGTTTGGGGTCTACTAAGTTTAAAAGAAATTTAAATGAATAAAAAGTTTATGCCCAAAAAAAGTAAAGAATTAAAATTTTGCCCTTCAAAACATTGGTTGTTGGCCGTTTGGCAACTACATGGCAACTTATTTTGCACCGCACAGGCATCAAAAAGGATTTCCGTTAGCTCCAATGACGGAACTTTAAGAAGTGGATTAATTTGATATACTTTTGAAAGATAATAAATAAGTTAGATATAAAAATGTTTATAGGCAAAAGATATGAAAAAATTTATAGTTAATAAACTCTTTATTTTAAAAAAATCATTTATTAAATTTAGCCATTTTTGGTCCCACCATTTGTACAATAGAATTAAAACCAATTAAAACCCACGTAGTACAAGTGACAAATCATCTGATTGAATCTCAAAAAAAAAGAAAAAAAAAAGAAAAAAAAAACTGGAATTAGGATATACACAAACAATTTGGGTGGTTAAACAGTAATTTCACTTTACTAATAAAAGTAAGGGTTCCTTTGGTCAACAAAAAAGGTAAGAAGCTCTCAATTCGGTTTACAGACACGGAGATGAGATAAAAGTGTTTTTTTTTTTTTTTTTCATAGTTCAGATAGTCAAAGTGTTTTGAAGTAAACTTTGGTGCACCTTAAAATTAATTTTTTTTAAATAATTTTAAAAATATATTATTATATTAATTTAGTGCATTTAAAAAAATAATTTTTTGAGTGCTAACCCTACAACTAAAACTTTAAATTTGATTTAAAAAACTGCACTTACTTATTAATAGATCTAACTATTAGAATTGAAAATTATTTCTGATTATAAAATTAAAAATCAAAATAATAATAACAAAAAAAGTGTTTTATAGGATAGACTGTACATTAAAATTGCAATCTCTCTATGAATTTACTAAAATACTCTTAATAAAACTATTTCTTATATTATTCATTAATAGTATTTGAATAAATTCACATAGCATATTATACTTTTAATATATAGTTTGATTTATAAAACATAAATTCCTAATAACAATAAGACATTATCACACTAGTTAACATGCTTCCCTCACTCTTCCCCTTTCTTGATCCCCTACTCGTTACAGTATATTTGTGTTAACAATTCTTCATACTATTCATTAATCATCATTATTATAATATGTTGTAATTTAGGCAATTATATTTAGATTAAGTGATAATGTACTTATAAATATAAAATTAGAGGTTTCTCTCTTCAGAATGGTATTTTACTTCTTGTGCTTTTAGAAATCTTCATATTCTAAAATCAGGTCAAGGAATGGCTGGTTGTTTGATCCATCAATTGAGCATCGTTGATCTTTCTCCTCCAA